CCAATTTTTCATGTGCTTTTTTTAAATTTAGGAATTTAAAAATACTTGAAATTTTCATCATTTTTAACAATTTCGCGATTTTAATATTTTCATGATTTCTAAAATAGTTATAATTATCAAAACTTCCATAATTTTTAGAAATATTGTAATCTTTTATAGTTTTCTAAATAATGAAAACTATGAAAATTTTTAAAATCTTCAATAATTCTGCAAATTTTGAATATTTCGGAAATTTTAAAATGTGGAAAATCATCTAAGATTTTTCAAAATATTCCAAAGCTGACTATGGCGAGTTTCTTGAAAAAAAACGACCTGATTGTAATTCTCAACAGCATTGAAAATATCACTCCTTCAAAGTCGAGGTGTTATATTCAAATTAATATTAAATCTAAGAGTTTAGGAAACAAAATATGGTTGATTATCTTCAGGTTGAGACCGTGAATCAAGACGATAACATACTTCGTTGGAATTGAAGCATATTAAAATGACATATCAGTACAATAAAATTGAATAAACTCACTATACAGATAGATGTTTCGCATGATTTGCCACCAAGGATACCATACATGCTTATTACACAGAGTAAATTCAGATGACCGGGCAAAAACTGATTGAAAAATTTTGCAGTCACAGGTTGTTGAGGAGATCGCTGGTATCGGAAATCAGGTTTATTCCTTATTCTCCAACACCTTTCAGGTAGTTTCACGTTTAATCTTAAGGGCTTGGTTTTTCTAGTATACAATCCACAATATTTATACTTATTTGTTATTGTTTACTCAATGGGTAAGACCCTTGTTACAAATACAAAACAGTATTGATAAACTGAAGTTCCAAATACTTGATGGGAAGATGGTTGCAAAATTCACCTCACCCTCCACAAACATTGGAGCCTCTACGAAACCAAATTCAGATCAAATATTAATTACTTTCTATTTATAAGTAAACCTAAATCTTATAAAGGTATGCTCTAAATTACAGCAATCCTAGTCGGCGTTGCATTTTCTATGTCATTCAGTACATATTAAATAACAACGGGCCTAAGTGGGAACCCTGAGGTACTCCAAAAGTTACACGAATACTACGAGCTGTACATCCACCATATCTTACCATCTGAGATCTATCAAATAAGTATACAATTGAAGAGCTTCAATATGTACTTTAACTGATAATTTTAAGTCGAAAATAACTTCCAAACAATTTATCTATAAAACGGAATAATACAATTCCACAATGATTCACATCACTCTTACTAATCCCATCTGATTGATATTCCATCGACACGACGAGCCAAAAGAGAGATTGTATCTAATCTGGAAACAAAGAAAGGACCGTCTCGTTGGTATCTTTAATTACTAAGACTGTATGGAAAGGGTAGAACTTAATCAAGTTCCGATAGACAGTCTTGTATCGAAGATATCAAAGACGGATGGGGGTTTTAATGTTCGTGGCGGCAACGACGCGAAGTGGCTTGCTTGATCGAATCAGATTCGTTATCAAACAATTGGATAATGGATTGTTGTCACCTTCAAAGGGAAGCGTTCACGGAATATTAAACGAGACATATCCATCTCCTGTATTGAATTTTCGACTATACTGTTACAATTTCGTTTTATGGTCGACCTGATAAAGTAAATCGTTACGTTTTTCTATTTTAGAATAATGATTTTATAACACAAATATTGCATTCCATCTCTTTAAAGGTCATTGCCGGAACGTGGTTGTTTCTGTTCGATAATAGAGGGCGCGCGGTCTGGTCAACGCAGGGATGGCCACGGAATGGGAATTGCTTGTCGTTGTGAGGTTGAAACTCATAATTGTTTATGGTGTCATTAAAAAAACTGCTTACAACCGGAGAAACAAAAAGACCGCCACGTCGGCGCGTTAACAAAATTCACCTACAATCTCACAATCCGAATTTCTCTTCCTAATTGAATAATGTAACTGTTCCCCGGCTCATCACAGCACTCCTTCTGTCCTTTTGGTAATGATATAACCGGAGAATAAAGACTGCAAACAGTGGGATCACTCCGCGACCGAAACCAATTTCTTAAAAAAAAATTATCTACACTTTGCAAAGGGCAGTGGCGACGCGTGACCTTTTCTAAACTGTTACCAAAACCAGATGTGAACGATCTTATTAAAAAAAAGTTTATTTTGAACCTACCAAATATAAGTTTTTGCTTATTTTAGGTATTTTATTTAAACTTTTTTGGTTAAAGTGAACATTGCTGAACTGGGCGTCTGGGGAACTTGATATACCTTATGCCTTATGCAATTCTCTGTAATTTCCACTATTGTCAGAGTCATCCCCTTCAAAATGACCCCGAAATGGTAATTCTTGTTTGGCCAAAAGACATACGGCATCTATAAGAGGGCTGCCTAAAAGCTTGGTTAAGACAACTTTCGATTCTTGTTTTGCCAAACTGAATCAAATTGGCTACACATCTCACATGTAACAGATAAATTTCATGTCTCCTTTTTAGAACCCTAAGACTATTTAAATCGTTGACCCCGCTGCTGGTTCATCCATTTTTTTCTGTAGAAAACAGAAGACACGGCCAACAATACAATGTTTTTCTTGCAGCCACGTAACCAAGAGTTTTCACTATACCAACTTAATTTAAAATATCGAACTACTATTTTTATTCCTATTTAAAATTACCTAAAATAGGTGTTGATCTTCATTTTCAATGATCTCCTTTTTTTCTTCAAAATTATATAAGGAGAATGACTTTTTAAGTGGTTGATCGATTACGCAGCGACATTCATCCGTTTAAAACGGCTACTTACGAGTGAGAAGTCAGTAACGAAAACAAAAAGTGGTAACAAGCCCACGTAATAGTCGCAGCGACCCACGCACTCTGGCGACCGCGATCAGACACGAGCCTGCACCGACGGTCCCCGAAGGACTATCAAGTGTATCCATAAACGAAAATGGTAACAACCGACAACCAAGTCGAGGCAATGGTTACACGGACGCTTCGCCACTGGCAAAGGGGTTTGTTTAATAAATCTCTGTAGGCGGAAGAATTTCCAAATTACCGGAAACAAACCTTTTCAAGTCAGGAATAAGAACATCGTTGAAAACTATCGTGCGGTGTGTTTTCAGTGTGTTCGTTACTTGAGTATTGCTGCTCCCCAAGTTATAACTTAAAGATCAACCAATTACAGCGTGTGCAGAAGATTTGTTTGAGAATCTGTGGATATAAAATGGATTTCATTGGGCAAGAGTACTCTTCTCTACTTATGAATATGACTTCTCTTCAGCGACGCAGATTGGAATTTGACTTTTATTGCACAAATTTATCAATGCTCACATTGCTTGTCCTCAATTGTTAGGAAATATTTCACTTAACGTGAAGTGTTAAGAACATTGCATTCGTTGAATCAGGAATGTTTTGTATTTGTAGCAAGGATGTTATCCGTTAAATAAATAAATTGTTATCGATTTGCTATGATGAGCATCTTAACATCCTATTGTTACTCCGCGAGTACTCAGAGATGTTTGTTTATATCGTCCATAAGCCGTCTGGTCGAATTCAGTTGAGGACTTAAACAGCCCCAAATTTAGGGACAGTTAAAGAAACTAGTAAGTGTTTTTGAATCGAACAGCGGCAGCTTCAAGCATGGTACTTACCAGGTGGTCAGTGAGTATTTTTTTTCAATATCTTTTTTACGTTTTTGGAAACTGTCCAAACGTATTTGACTCCAAAAAGAGAAGTCCCAACTTTCAGGATGTCCTGTGTAAGTAGGGAAGTAGAATTTCCGTATGTACATCGGAAAAGAAGGATGAAATTTTTTTCCGAGTGATCCTACTTTTCTAGTCTATATACTTTGGTTATAATAGGAAGTAATTGCGAGTTGGCCAATAATTACCCGCAACGACCGTTGCAAGAGTTAATTAGGGTCGAGCTCTGCTTTTTGGGAAATTTACTCAGAGAAGTCAAGATTGACAGAACGAATGAATGGAATGCCGGTTGCTATTTAATTGCGAAGAAAAATCTTGAAATAAAAATTGGGTGCATTGCCACGAAATTATTTTTTAGTCTCTCGCCCAGTGGCGGGTTCGAGATGCATAACGAACAGAACTAGAGTAAAAGACCTCATACAGGGTGTTGTATAATGTTGTCGGGAAATTTTCAGGGCATATTCATTATGTAAAAATATGAAAAAAGACCACGCTCTGAATTACACTTTCTGGAATTTAATGACAGGTTACGATTAGTAGCATATTCTCTCTTAATTTTTTCTGTTGTTTATAACTTTTCCGGATTAAAGTGATCAACTGAGTATCATCTGCATAAGAAGCCACAGAAAAGTGTGACAAAACAGTCTGAAAATCGGCAGTGTAAATGATGAAAAGTAGAGGCCCCAGAGTTGAGCCCTGGGCAACTCCTGAAACAAATTGTTTACCTTTAGGTATATTACTCCCAATTTTGATTTTTAGTAATCGATCGGATAGGTATAAGTCAAAGATATCGAGGCCATAATATCGGAGCTAGGAAGCAATCTATGATCAATGGTATCAAAAGCTTTAAAGTGGTGAATCAACTGGCATCATCTGCATAAGCAGCCATAGGAATGTGAAAAAGCAGTCTGAAAATCGGCAGTGTAAATTATGAAAAGTATCAGCCATAGAATTGAGCCCGGGGAACTCCTGAAACAAGTTGTTTACTTTCAAATACATTACTCCAAATTTTGCACAAAGCAATCCATGATCAATGGTATCAAAAACTTTGTAAAAGTCGAGAGAAATCAATACTGTAAAGCAATGATGTTGCTGTACTGTGACCAGCACGGAAATAATGTATCATATTCTGAATTTTTCGACTGAAGACAGCCGTAACCTCCAAGGTTTCGATCTAAAGGTTTCCATACAGCAATCATTCTTATTTATCGTGATGTACCTCACTCCACACTAAAGGTCGCCGTACACAAATATTACTACTAAAGGTGCCCACACACGATGATTTTTACTAAATCTGTCCATACACGCTTACCGAACTCTCCCTGGATGTGACACAGATGGTGCGCGGGGCACATCTCGTGCGGATGATGATGGTGCGCCGCCGCGTGCATGTAGTAATCGTGGAAATAATCCCCGTAGGGCGGCGGATGCACGCCGTACATCTCCGCAACGGACGGCGGTTGCTGCATGTGGTGGATATGATGCACGTTGTTGAGGTGGGCCGTACCGCCTCCAGGGGGCGTGGCATCGGCGGAAGGGCCGCTCTGACTGGCCACCATCCCTTCTTCGGGGCCGTCGCCGTAATAATAGTAGTACGTCGGGTAGTACTCGGAGGGTTGAGGCACTTGCACTTCACTATTGTTGTAGTCGGTGGTCGCCTTTAGGTAAACGGAAATCGGTCACTGACGGTGGTGATTCACCGGAAGTGACTCGGCCGCGCAGGATCACACGGCGACCATGATTCGGACATTGTAAGGTTCGAGTATTTGGAAATTTTGAATATTTCGATCGACGATAAGAAATAAGTTTCTGCATTCAAACAGAATGGATTTTTTTGAGATAGGCAAAGACGGTTTTGTTCAGAATTAGGTCTCTTTTAGTGAAATAGCAAATATTGGCTCCTATGTACAAAGTTGCTTGAGTAAAATTGGGAAATAGTGATATGCCCTAAAAAGGTATCAGAAGTCGAAGTAAAAAAAAGTGTGAAGTGCATTCTTTAAAGGACTTACAAGTCAAATTTCATTCCCCAAAGAAACAAGAGCTCAGAGTAGCTTGAGTTCCTGAAGAAAATTAGGAAAAGGGCAGAGTAGTTTGATTTCCCGCGCTGGAAAAGAAGACTTGCTAGTGGAGGTCACAGCTTAGGGACGCAACAGTCTTGTACAGATTAGTATTTTCAAAACACAGTTCTTTGACAAAAAGCGTCATAGCGCTCATCCGGTTTGGATAGATAGCCGAGTTTTGCTAAAGAGCCGTCTATTTCGACTGATCGGAGTCCAGATCACCGAGGACTTAATCTGTCACGAACACGTCCCATCAATAGCGGCAGCTGCTGGAAAAGAGAAGGTAAGAAGTACTTTTCCCCACATGACCTCATAATTCTATAAAAGATATCATCCATGCTCGATACTCGGATTAACAAAGTTTCACTGGGAAACAAGAACTCCAGGATACGCGCAAAGAAAATTTAATACAGTGAAAAACCTCAAATAAGGCACATAATCTGACAGTCAAAGAAATGTGCAATGCAGTTTGTATTCCTGAAAAACCGCAGGGAGGTTTAACGATATTCCATCCTCAATTGCAGCGGCGGATCTAGGATCCGTGGGGCCTGAAGCACAAAGTTCGTATGGGGCCCCCGATGGTGATAGTTGAAGAGCGAGTGGCGGATCTGGGATCCCTGGGGCCCGAAGCATAAAGTATGGGGCCCCCGATGAAGACCGCGGGGTTGCGAACTGGAGCATCTTGGTTTTGGGAGCATACATTTTCTCTACTCTGCAACCCCGTCCGACGCACAGCGCGCGGTGTGTCACCTGAGACACGCCTCTGCCCGCAAGAACCCAAGAAGGAATTAGTGGTTTTAAGAGTTATGCTATTCCACTAAAATCTGAACCGGAACCCCGCATTCTCTGCCACGACGACGGAAAGTATCGAGTTCAATCATGGTCGCCGTTTGCGATCACTGTCACTCGAAAACACTGTTGTTGTTGCATAGGAGGCTGTGAAATACCTTACGGCGCCTCCTTCGATTCGGCCGATCGCACTGCACCGCGAATGTGATCGTGTATCCAGTGGCGTACGGTCGGTCACGCGGATCCGGCTCGAGCGCGGCGGATGAGGAATACAATTGCTAGCTACGTTCTGCGCGATGGCGGTGGCGCGACTGGCCGCCCGCCGATTGGAGTTGGAGATTGTCGGAGCCGCGGCGGCGGCAAAACGCCGACGGCCGCGGGTCTTTCTCTCTCGCGCTGTTGGGATGGGAGGTAACGAATGCTGGTATTCGAGTACCGGGATATTCGCATTTAACAGAGTATACGGAGTAGCCAGTAGACGATTGAGATACGGACTGTGCTTCTGGGGCAAATTGCTACAAGACATGAAGTGCCGTCAGTCTATCAGCTGTTTACTTGATGAATGTTATTACGCCCTCAGTGACTTCATTTGCTAAATATTTATTTTTGAAAAATACAATACATGTGTTTTCATGTCAGGATAATACACATTCTTCCGTGGTAGCTGAAATGCTACCTGAAATTTGGATGCGATCACCCATTCATTACCCGCGGTAATAGTCCAGGATGTATCATCGCATCTGCTCGGAAAAATATTTTGATTAAGATTTTTAATGCGTATTCTTTCATTCGTCCGATTATTTTGTGCGAAAAGAATGAACTAGTGAACACAATACTAACATACGCAGAGTGCCAACAAAAAGCAGGCGCAGCATTCAGGTCGTATGCGGAAAGGTTCCCTTTAAGAAATCATCGGGCCCCACGGATGTGTGTAAATTTAGTTATCAGACATCGTGACACATGATTTTGATATACCATTTAAAAATTTTTGCATAACCATAACATTCTACAGATATAAAGCATGCGATAGAAAATGTTCGCTTCGCCATCTTTATTGCCACATTAATTGATAACTTGCGATTCATCATCCTTCAATAACAATTCTGTTTGAATAATGAGATTTTCTATGAATTGCTTCATACACCATACACCTTTATCATCAAAAAAATTGTTTATCTAAATTGCCGTTCATGCATTGTACTCAAATTCTTCAGCATTGATACAGTAAATTGAAGGCCGGAAACTATTCAGACAAGAAAAACACTTAAAATTTGAATAGATGTTACGCTTTCCTATGTTACAAAGCCAATATGAGACTCTGCCGTATATACAGGGTGCGCCAGCAAACTTCCTTCTTCCAAAACTTGATCAAAGCCATTGTTTGAATCAGAACATTTTTATATACGATGATAATGATGAATGATAAACATGATAGAACATCAATCCCACCTTACAAGCATTCGCAGTACTACCCTGTACCGTTTCACCTCGCACGGGGGAACGCTAGATTCCTACCGCATGGAAGTCACGGCCGTGTCCATGATCAGGGAAACTGTAGCTTCCTACCGCATGGAAGTTACACCTGATATAGAAATACCTCGCACGGGGAACGGTAGGTTCCTACCGCATGGAAGTCACGGCGGTGTCCATGATCAGGAGATGTATAGCTTCATACCGCAAGGAAGTCACGCTCGTGTTCAAGATCAGGGGAACGGTAGATTCCTATCGCATGAAAGTCACGTCCGTGTTTATGATCAGGGGAACTGTAGCTTCCTACCGCAAGGAAGTCACGCCTCTGTTCATGATCTGGGGAACGGTAGCTTCCTACCGCATTGAAGTCACCGCCGTGTTCATGATCAGCGGGAACGGTAGATTCCTACCGCATGGAAGTTACAGCTGATATAGAAATACCTCGCACGGGGAACGGTAGCTTCCTACCGCATGGAAGTCACGCCTGATATGGAAATACCTTGCACGGGGGAACTGTATATTAATTAGCCGTCTTGATACTGATCATAAAACAATATAATAATGGCCATGATATTTCTCAATTATATTTTTACAAATTATAACACATTGTATGGAAGTCACACCTGATATGGAAATACCTCGCACGGAGGAACGCTAGATTCCTACCGCATGGAAGTCACGGCCGTGATCAGGGGAACTGTAGCTTCCTACCAGATGGAAGTCACTCCCCAGTCCATGATCTGGGGGAACGGTAACTTCTTACCGCATGGAAGTCACGGCCGTGTTCATGATCAGTGGGAACGGTAGCTTCCTACCGCATGGAAGTTACACCTGATATAGAAATACCTCGCACGGGGGAACGGTAGCTTTCTACCGCATGGAAGTCACGGCGGTGTCCATGATCAGGAGATATATTGTGATATATTTACGTTCCCGAAGGACCTGGACCAATAATAGGAGGATATTGCACACTACACTGTACTTTAGGTGAATGCAAAGCCCTTTGATGCAATTCTCGTATAATCGCGGCTGAACTGTGTCGGGACAAAACTTTCTCCAGAACATTTTAAGCCTGTAAAACGGATTCGCCAGGCTGTTAAGCTCAGCCATCGAGATTGATCCTACTTTCGATTCCTAACCTAACATTTCGACGGGCAAAAGCAGACGTCTATTAAGCAAATATCGATGATAAGCACTAACGAAAATATAAGATGATAATTACAAATCAATCAAGCTGAAGCCAAAATCCATTCACCGTCCATTCAAACAAAGAAAGTTGTTTACCTCTCAGACTGTTCTCGACAGATACTAATCTAGTGGGCCATTAAAAACAAATCAGACACCTTCTAAGGCTATGCGGTCAGGAGTAAAGTGAACAATATTTACACTGTCTGAGGTTAGGAAAAAATAATAATCATTTACATTTTTTCACTTTCAAGTCAGGTACCGGTATATTTGCTCGAAATTCAGCGTTTTGATTTTATTGAGGGGCAATCAGAAAAATATCGCAAAATTTAACCCTCAAAGGGTCTGTTATATGTTCTATGCTGAGAAATAAACATTAATAATTAACAATAGAATCACCATCGCCGACGAGCAAAGATTCTTCAGGATCCTTATAGCAGCCGCGTTGCCCCGGTATTCAGGCTTCTGCCTGCGCGGCTGTTTCGGTATAAAAAAGAGTAGAAAATCAGAAAGAAAATACCTGATAATGGGTATACTATTTGAACGCTGGTGAGGCGGCGCAATCTCCTGTGTGAAACCATCATAAACAAAAGCGTAACAATGAGAGGAAACGATACAACCTTACCCATTGTGTTCTTGGTATATGTGTAAGTGGTTGCAAAATATTCCTCGATGAAAAAGGAAAATAATCCACGTTGTATAAACTAAGAACTTTTATTGCATTAGTTGCGAGATAAATACAGGGTGACGGGAAAATAAAACTTGAAAATTGGGTGTTTCATTTGATTTTTCTTCGGTTTTACAATAAAAATATTGTAAAATATGAAAATTGATACTCAAATGTATACTTTATCTGAAGTCACTTGAAGCACTGTGAAATACCGGGTGCGTTTTATATATCTATATTTAACACGCACGCAAAAATCGCCAAATTTCGCAGAAAATATCCCCCGTATAAGATCAAAGGCAGTTTCACCGGTCCACGTGGAGTAAAGCACGCCTATGCGTGGACATAGCCAATGAGAAAGCGTGTATTTCAGAGCTCCGAACAAGTGCAGGTGGCTACTGAAAATTGAAACAGTTTAGCCAGTGCCGTGTAGCGGTGAATAAACGTGTTTTCTTTAGTCTGTCCGTGTTTTTTCATAGATTTTATTAGTTTGTGTTTTTGACTTTTGAATACTCAGTTTACTTGTTGATTTAATTGTTGTGTTGATTGTTCTTGTGTGTCCTAAATATGGCTCTTTGGAGACCTTGGGAAAATGCTCCAAGCCACGAGGAGATGGTTGATGAACCTGTGCAGGCAGAATTCTTTCATAAAGATTTAGAGGAACAGACCCAAAGAGTAATCCTAAATATGTATGATTGTCTGAAAAACGAAAATCCAGATTCCTCGCAAAATCAAATTTTAAACAGAATTTGTATCCTAACAAAAATCAGTCGGTCTACCATTTATCGGGTTATAAAAAGGGGAGATGTAGTCAACCATTCCTTCCACAGAAAGCGCATAGGGCAAAAATTAAAAAGAATAGACGTGGGTTTTCAGGAAGATATTCGTCGTATAATATACGGATTTTATAAAGAAAATTTGGTGCCCACGTTGGAAATGATACGGGATAAATTAAAAGATTATCCTGAAGATTTTTATAATTACAAATGCTTAGACTCACTGCACTGTATTGTAAAACTGTGTGGTTTTCAATACAAAAAATTAGATAAAAGAATGGTAATTATGGAGTCGTCTCGAATCGTTGAATTGCGCCAAGAATTTTTGCACAAAGTTAAAATCTAGAGAGCAGAAAAGAAATCTGATTTACCTGGATGAAACGTGGTATGATACCCATGATGTTGTGTAGTACGGCTGGGTTGACGACAGCAACAAGTGCATTTTAAATGCACCATGCAACCGTGGAAAACGAATCATTATTCTTCATGCTGGCAGTGAAAATGGATTTATACCTAATGCCTTGCTGTTATCTGCCAAAAATATCAAAGAATCATGTGCCGACTATCATGAGGACATGACCTCCGACTTATTTGAAAAGTGGACAGAGCAGCAGTTAATACAGAAACAGACACAGAGACAGAAAAACAAAATTTCGAATACAGGCACAAAAAAACAAGACATTATTGATTTTATGAAGGATAAGGGAATGGAAATACCACAAAAATCAACCAAAACCATATTATTGGATCTTATTAAAAGACAAAAATTTGAAAAAGAGTATGTTGTTGACAATCTGCTTCTGCAAAATGGCCATGAAGTATTACGTCTACCTCCCTATTACTGCATTTTTAACCCGATTGAGTTGGTCTGGGCTGCTTTAAAAAAAAAAGTAAGAAAACATAATCAGACCCCTCAATTAAGTGAATCGCTATTGGCCACAATAAGAGATGCAGTATCTCATATTGCTGCCACAGACCTATGGAAGCAGTGTTCTAGGCATATTATTGAAAAAGAAAATGAATATTGTGTTTTGCCTCCTGTAAATCCCGTTGTAATTCCTGTCCATGTCAAACGTTGGAATTCTGTAATTTTTCCATTTCTTAACTTTCAGTCAACATAAATTAAACTCCCAATATAAGTATTTTTTATCCCAAATCAAAAAAATAGGAAGATAGTAAAATCCATTTATTGTGATATAAAAACATTATTATTATCGTTCTAAATAAATGACCGCACGCAATTTCACTTTGG